GGTGTTCCCCCCCCCCCCCCCAAAAAAACTCTGTATGAGATGGAACAAATAAAGTAACTTTTAGTTTTTGTATAACAAACTCACCTTGGTAAAAAATCGAGATTCTTCCGGCATTGTATATTAACACCCCGTAAAATTCGGCTTAGGTATTAATGAGTTAAAGGAGTAGTAAGGATATATTTTGAACATGTGAAGTCCCATGGGGATGATTATGGGTAAAAATAGTTGTTTCAAAATCAAGATGGAAAGTGAGGTGCATAAGATTTGACAAAATCGACTAAGTTTGCAGAAGGTCTATATTCCAGCAGGATTTAGTGAAAATTTGTAAGGAATTGGGAAACACTCAAAGAATTCAAGTTATAGTCCTTTGAAATAGCTTTCCAATGATATATAGTGGAGCCCAAACGGAGCTCTGTGCAAAAGGTTATGCCCGTTTTACATAATGGTGTATAACCACCGCGGTCCTGCGGCGTTTTTACCGCGACCACGGTGGTGAGGCAGTATCCCAGCGATTTACCGCGGTCGCACCAACTGGGACGCGGTGGACGACTTGGGAAGTCGTTCTTTTAGCCTTATTTCATCCCCCACAGCCCCAAAACATAAAAACTTGCTCTAGAAAGGAAGACTCTCAAAAACCTAACTCATTAAGGGTCCTTCCACCACCCAAGGTAAGTTTTAATGGTGATTCTAAGTTAATTGCAATTTCCTAATATCTTACTAACAAGGGTAAGCCCTCCATATCATTAGATATTCGATTGGGACATCATTGTTGAGAGAAGGAAGCCTAGAACTCGAATTCAAAGGGTTTGAACTTCAAAAAGGTAATGTCTTCACCCTCTAATTGATTCTAGCATTGGTTTAATGATTATAAACCCTAGTTCATGAGATATGAGTTGATGGCTTTGATAGAAAAGCATGAACGATTATAGGTTGGGGTGTTGAGTGTTGATTATTGGTTAAGGGTGTTGTTTACCTTATGGGTGATGAAGAATAATGTTGATTATAATCATTTGAGACTTTAGAATTTATCTAGGAACAAGAGAATGAGTCGTTGGGTATAGAGACACCATTAATAAGGACTATAAAGCTTTATTTTCACCAAGTATTTGATAAAATGTTTAAGTGACCAAACATGAGCACCATAGCTAATATGGAATCCCTTTGACTTGTATTGCTTTAGATTAAAATTGAAAGGGTTGACAAACGTTGCATTACGCTCAAGGGCAGGAAGTTAAGGTATGTAAGGCTAACTCTTTACGTTGGGAATGTCTATGATTCTCCCTACGTCCCATTCATTATGACCATTATCAGTTTCCTCAGAAAGTAACTATGCCTTAGTTCCCTGAATAGTAGTAGAACTTCTATTCTCTAGATGGCATAGTCTCATAATCATTCGATATTCTATGAGTTTCAGTTATGACAAATCAACTTATTATGAATACTCATCTCAGTCTAATCCTATTTACTATTCCAGTATCATATAACTCGGTATGACTCATTATTTCAGTATCATGTATTGTAATATGATTCTCAGTTCTTGATTTTATATTCTTGAATGTTGAACACCTGTATTTGGGCTTGAGGCCGCAGTTTATGCTTTATGCATCTTTGGGCCTGAGGCTGCAGTTATGTATACGTACACTTAGGCCCGAGGCCGCAGTTGTGCACACACACACACACACACACACACACACACACATATATATATATATATATATATATACACATATATGTATGTATGTATATACATATNATATCCTTACTTCCTTGTTCAGTTATCAGTTTATCAGCTAGCAGTTCAGTTTCAGTTTCAGTATTTACAGTTCTTTTCTTCAGCTGTTTTACGTACTGGTGCAATTCAAATGTACTGACGTCCCTTTTTGCCCGGGGTCTGCATCTCGCGATGCAGGTAACGATTTTCAGGTTGACGATTCTGCTTGCTAGGACATCTCGTATCAGCTATTGGTGAGCCCCAGTCTTTCAGTTATCTCTCTTTTATTTTAGTCATTATAGTATTTCAGTTAATAAGGTATACCAGGGACCTTGTCCCGGTAGCATTTTCAGTGGTCTTTGAGGCTTCGTACACTATAACCCAGTCAGTCAGATATTAGCAGGCTTTCATGTGTTAGCCTTGTCGGCTACTTGTTTATACTTGCAGACCTTTTTAGTATTTTCCGCATCGATGATATTTCAGTCAAACTCTTTAGTAGATTTTCATGTTTTATATTTACCTTTAGCTCATAGATATACCACGTGTTGATCCAGCTTGGTTCACTCGGTCATATGCAGTCAGGCACCGAGTGTCGTGTTACGCCCAGACCATAGTTTAGGGTATGACAAAGCTTGGTATCAGAGCCCTAGGCTCAAGAGTCCTAGGGAGCCTATGAAGCCATGTCCAGTGGGGTCTCTTTTATGTGTGTGTGCGCGCCACACATGTAAACAGTTGACCACCAAGACATCTAATTGTTCCATTTCCTTCATACTCTAGATTGTGCAGTTAGAGCTATGCTTTCAAGAATCTTTCTAACCCGCGCGAATTGCGTATTTCAGAAAAATGCCTGCAAAAAGAAAATACACCAGGAGGGCCTCAGCTACTAGCCAGGGGGCCACAACTAATACTGCTCAGGAGGAGGACACTCCGGCCCAGGGGGTTGCACCGGGCTTAGTGCCCAGTGCCTCAGACATGGATGTCAGGGGAGCTATCTAGTTGCTCACCCAGATTGTTGCTACTCAGGCTCAAAGGCAGGGAACAACTGATGTTCATGGGATGGGCAGTTCCAGGTCTAGGGAATTCCTCAACATGAAACCTCCCATCTTCACAGGGTCCAAATAGGATGAGGATCCGCAAAACTTCATTGATGAGGTTCAGAAGATATTTTGAGTGATGCATGCTACAGACACTAAGGCAGCAGAGCTTGTTGCGTACCAGCTGAAGGATATTGCCAACACTTGGTATGAAACCTGGGAAGAGTCCCGAGGGGAGGATGCAGATCCTGCGACTTAGAAGGAGTTTGCAGATGCGTTCCTTGAGCACTTTCTACCCATTGAGGTCTTGGAAGCTAAGGCTTTGGAGTTTTAGAGACTCAGACAGAATGATATGAGTGTGAATGAGTACTACCTCAAGTTCGTCTCTATGACCAAGTATGCTCCGGAAATGGTACGTGATATGAGGGCCAGAGTTAGGCGGTTTGTGTTGGGGCTTTCAGATGATTTGTTTGCAGATGCTAATATAGTTGCTCAAAATAATGACATGACCATCACTAAGATGGTTGCCTTTGTTCAAGGGAACGAAGACAAGTTGAAGGAAGAAGAGCGACTACGGAGAG